TACCAATCTTAAACGACACTATCTTATCATCACGGCCCTTTACAGAGTGTTGTGTATTTTTCATGCAATAACAGAAGTTATAATCAAGGATCATCTACACTTGCAAATCCTGTGCCAGGCTGGGGTTGGCACAGGCCATAAAATATATTTCTTTTCTTAATTTGTTTCATTACGGGTCCTAAAGAACCCAACTTAACTTGAGAGAATTACAATTTGCTTAAAACTACAATATAATATGATCCGCTGCTCGGACATTTGTACAGTCACTGCCTCAGTTTCTAATTATTTGTTCCATATGCAGCTTCTTCTACTTTCGCGCGAACTACACTCATGGCTGTGGCATATTGAGTTTGCACGTTTCTCAGCATTCATTCAACCTCTCTACAAGATTTTTCAATTCCTTCAGCATCAGTGTTGGACGCTGTGCATCAAACTTGCACCGCAAGGAAGTATGTAAACATATTTGGCCTTCAGCTTTATTGCCACGTCTGCTGCTAATATACTTTAACATAAAAGATTGCAAAATGTGTGTGAAGACAACTGCAGAATTAAACTTTTGGGAGCCGTGCTCATTCAACACAGAGAACACAGCCAATATAGTGTGTGGGGCCTTAGTAACTTAGAGGATAAGAAAAAGAAAGAAACGAAAACGAATGACTATGCACATTCAACTTTTCTGATGGTCTAATGTCTCGTCAGCTTCTGCTTGGCATTAGAAACAATTTTACAATCTGTTAAGTATGAGTGGAGTCACAAATATTTGTCGCACGCTGCCTTCGCATTCCTTGTTCTTTCGTCCCGAAGGAAGTGCTGGGAGCTAATGAAGGACGGAAGGTTCGGAGGAAATAAGTTACGCAATGCACGCGACAAGGCCTCGAGCACTGTTTTTTGTGTTTTTTTTAATGCGTGGCTTATTTATTATGTGATCGTGGGGGTGCGCGTGGGCATGTGGCAGCTTCTTGCGGCGGCATCGGTGACTATTCAGATCACCACTGTGATTCTGTGTATACGGGATGGTAACTCGGGTATACTGAATCATTTTTAGAAAGAAGGGCGGCAGATTTCTAGCTGTCTTTGTGTATGTTACTCTTCGGCTGTCCGTGCTCTGGTTCTTCTTGTTCGTGTTTTTTTTTTTTTTTTTGCGCAATTTTTCATCCACAATGCAATACCAACTCACCCATTGCTCGGTTCTTCTAAGCTGAATAAGGCAGCAGAGACGAGCGCGCAAATGTCGTGACAGCTTTGCGACACACCTCGTATCTGCCAGGGCACCAGTTCCCGTTACATAGAATGAGTTGTATCACATGACGTGTCACAAGTGTCGCAACGTAATACGGAGCCATGCTATCACCAAGATATCGCTTTCAGTCCTTCGTGTTCGGACGAAACTGACTTGCACTGTAGCGGTGAAGGTTGGTGAAAAAGAAAGAATATGGGGAGAGGAGCTAGGAAAATTAAGACAGATAGAACGAGCCTTCAATAAGGCTTACTTGAGACGAAGCAATTGAATCTGGATGGAAAGCACCGACCGAGAGAGCTGCCGAACCATCAAAGGATTAATGAGAAACGAAATACAATGGAAGTCACTAACGCATGAGCTAATATATAGTGAGCTGATTCTACAAGGCTTACCAACAACGAGAAGAAAGTCAGTGGCATGAAAAAATAAAATTTCTGTGGTATAGGGACCGCAGTAAACAAAAGGTGGCCGCGAGGCAGCTAGACCAGAAACTTCGCTTAGCAAGGGTGAAATGCACGATCTAAAATGCAAGCAAGACAACATTAAAAATAAGCAAGGCAATTGAACGTCCAGAAGATTTATCTCACAACTGTGCAGTTAGCAGATACGCCACGCATTCTCGCGGAAAATTAGAGTGAAACAAGACACTGAAGTTTTATATATACCTACCGATCAAGTTAAAGAGGCCACACGACATATGCCACACAATAAAGTGGCCAAATATGGTATAAAAATTGTTCTGATCAAAGATTAGAGAGTGTTTTTTTTTTATAAAGCTTGCGTCTCTCTACACGCTATGTCTGAAGACCTCGATGCCAGTGAGCGCCATACTTGTTTTGCAGCGGAATAGAAGAGCCGAAAAAGCTCCAAGAATCATATACCACTCAGCTTCGAGAATTAGACAAAATGTTTAGGGGCAATTTTAAAGAGGACAAGAGAGACTTTTGGGTTAACCAACCTGTGGTGTATGGTTTCAGGAAAGGGTAGACCAAGGTCAGTTGGCAAATTTGCAAGCACAAAGAACCTATTTATGAAGCTTTCAGAGGCTATGGCATAGAAGACATTTGACTTGGTACATGTGTCAGCAATCCTAGAAGCATTCTGTCATGAGGGAGCACTTTAAAAGTACACGAATGAATTGACGAACTCCGCAGATATCTGGCATATTCACTCGGAACGCAAAGTAACTGGAACCGAGAAAAGGGTCACGGAACGAGACATGGTTGCGCCAGTGTTGTCCACCGCATGCACAGAATTGTTCGTATTACGGAATCGGGGCAAAATAGATTAACGGTAAACAAAGAATATCTCATGAACGTGAAAGTTGCAGATGACACTATACTTTGCAGCAATGTTGGTTAATCACAAAAAGGCACGGACGACTTAAACCGAGAATGTATCAAAGCACTAAGTACGGCTGGAAGCGATTAAAGTACTCCACAGTCTAGCGAAGGAATTCTAGATTCGCAAAAATACGAACAGAATACGTTCAAAAGTATAAGGCATATCTACGTAAATTACTAATGGGGTGGGGGCAAAGAGACTGGGCGATACAATAAACATCTTTATTATATATAAAAGTCTATTTGAGCGCGAATGGCAGGCAAGCCCAAATCATGACAAGAAATTTGCCACGCTCACTAGTGTGACAATTGCTTATTGAGAGTGCTAACATGTGTGGCTGAAACTTGGACGATATCAGAAAACTTGAGAAAATGTCAAGGATCACAGAGCATGCAGTAGAAAGAGGATAGGCGTAACATTAAGAGAGCGACAGACAGCACAATGGGTGAGGCAATCAACAGGATTCCTCATATTCTCGTTGACATTAAGCAAAAAAAAAAAATAGAGCTTTGCTGACTATGTGTTGCGTGATACAGAAGACAGACGGTCAGCGAGAGCGATGTAATTGATATGAAGAGATTGGAAATGTTGCCGAGGACGGCACCGACTTTGATGGTGTGACGAAGTTAAAAACTTACCAGGTATAAACTGAAATTAGATCGCCAAGATAGGCTCAACCGAACATCATTGAAGTGCTTATCATCTTGAGTCGGTCATAGAATAGGTTGAGAATGATAATAGAGAAAATACACGTACACTGCAATGGCTCTCACAATGGTGGCACACGTTTACAAGCTGCTGGCCGAATCGTGGACATGCTGGCAGTTGTATCTGTGCCTCTTACAATTTTCGAGTGAATGTTTCCCACAAAGTCGAGCTCGGTCTAAGGGAAGGGTGATTAACGTACGTGGAACATCTGTTATGACTACCAGTATTTACCACGTGTGATTTGGTGCTGCTAATATGCAGTCGTCACACATATAATAATTGACCAGCGTGTCTCAATACGTTACTTGCAATACTCGATGACATCACCTCACCGGTACCCATTCTCTGAAATTATACATTCTATATGACAGTGTTCAACAGTGTATAGGAATGTTGTCATGACTAATAACGTTGTGCAGCAGCATGAGTCATATCACTGATGTCGCCCGATTCACGACGTTCACCGCTTACGCACTGTGTCACCCTGCTTCACCTTGATATTTAGCCGCACGATGCATCAGATTATGTTCTAAGGTAACCGAATGCATCATCAGTTACACTTCGGTGTACGACCGAACGGCATTAGTCATAGTTAGGAATGCGTGAATAGCGAAATTCTTGGTGCGAATTCGATTCGAATATTAAAGTGCGAATCAAAGCGAACATTTTTCCAATAGTTGTGGAATATTTTATCAATGACTTTCGAGTGCTTCCAAGTGAACGTACAGAAAAAAAGCAGAAGGGGGAAGAAGATCAAAGGAGGCAGGACAGAAGAAAAGTTTGCAAAGGATCTATAGGCACATTCCTGGGAGGTTGGAACATGGAAGTGTTCTTTTTCAGAAGGTAAGGTAAGTGAAGGGCTGGGGATTGTGCTCCCTAGTTGTTTTTATCGAAGTTGAGGCAGTGCAGAGCCCAGTGCGATCTCACAATACTGTGCACGGCAAAGGAAAGGATGCTATTTCCTCCACCTCAGCCCTCTTGAACGCCTGTGGAAGCCCAAATGTTCTGCTGAACCAGGGCATGCTCTATTTGAATTCAAGAGTTGCTTCTCTGCCCTGTAGACGTCTATGTATAAAAACATCTGAAGGTTCGAACGCTGAAAATATTCATTCGTCTCTTTCAGAGTTTATGGTACTAAATTACTTTATTTAAGCCCCCCTCCCCTTCTGCCGCGTTGGTTCGAACCAGCGCTTTTGTGAGTCGATCCGTTTACAGTCGTAGCGGAGCCCTAAAAGTAGCTTTGCCGCAGTACTAGATATTACTGCGGCGAAGCATAATAAAAGTGTGAAGGGGCGATTGTAATGGAGCAGCGCATATCCAAGTCGGAACCAACGTTTTCTTCAGTGAATGCGTTTGCGACCACAGCAGAACCTGAAAGACAGCTTTTCTTCTTTTTTTCTTGCAATGCGAGAGTGTGATGCTGTGCAGTAAATAAAAACTCTGAAGGGCTCAGTCTCAGGATGTTAATCAGACGCTCACTGTATTTGTCATAGGGAAGTTCGAATTCTTCGAATAGTGGAAATTCCAGCGCGAATTGAATCGAATAGCAAACACAACTGAAATAATATTCGAAAGTTGGAATATTCCTCCACCCCTTGTTATAAGGTCGTGCGACGCCCCATTACCGGCGTCCAGCACCAACCTCAACCAAGACATGCGTCCCTCGGCACAGTGCCCCGCGCAAGGAACACAGGTGCGATGCACTCACGCTCTTTTTCTTGTTGTAGTCTGTGATGTTGTTGGCGTAGTTCCAGTCGGCGACGACCACTTTGTTCCACATTTCGGTGATGAGGTAGTTGGCGTAGCAGGCGTACATTTTGGCCAGGTCTTCGTCCTCGAGGTCTCCTTCCACGGGTTGTCTGGCGGCTCCGTGGACCACGGGCGTGGCTGCTGCGAGGACCAGGCACGCCAGCCACGTCCATCGAAGTGGTGGAGCCATTCCTGCCGCGCGGTGTCACTGGTCTCGACGGCGGCGATCAAGTCTGCGCAAAAAGCAAAACGGGCCACTTTATAGCGCCTTCTTACCGGCAGTGGAAAAGAGAGTTCGACGTTCAACCGGTTCCTCCCTGGTTCATTCGCCCTCCAAGTTTGACTCCTTCGTTCTGTTCACTGGATGAAGAACGTGGGTGCCCAGGAAGAAAACAAAGATAAAACCAAGAACAGAAAAAGCCGATAAGGGCGGAGGTTGTCGGACAAAATGTTAGTGGTAGGAGGGTGGTTCTGTGCAGTCAGAAATAAAAGTCGAAAACAGTAGATAGCGAATTTATGTGCTGAGGGGGCAAGCCGTATTTGGAAGACTGCTTGTCTATGCAGAGCCACAGGAAGGATGTGCGCTCTCTCCCAAGTCCAAGCAGACAGCGTTCTCGCTTTCATTTGACTCTATCTCTCACTCTCTGTGTGTGTGTTGGTGTGTTTGTGCGGATTACTTAAGAAACCATATGTGCTCGTGTAGGCTGCAGGGGGTCGCTAAATTGCGTACCAAATGCAGTCACTGTTTATACTACATTTAGGTAGCAGCGTTTCTCGTTTGTCTTCCAAAGGCTGCTAGCAACCACTCGTGGCGGAGAAGTTTATGTACGGGTCACTTTTTGTATTTTCGACACCACCACTGCAGTGAACTGTATTGACACTAGTTCTCGTTAGTCATGTAACCAGTCTCCGACATGGCAAACGAGTCGATCGATGACACAGTAGGCATGTCGCCTGCTAAATTGGTGCATGGCTTCGCAGAGGCGTAGCCAGAAATTTTTCTTTTTCTTTGGGGAGGGGGGGGGGAAGAGGTGGCACCCTTCTGAAATGGTCATTTTTCGCAGTCTATCCATGGCGAAGAAACTTTCGGGGCAGGGAGAGGCACGGCCTTGGTGTGCCAGCCCCTAGCTGTGCCCCTGCGGCTTCGCCGCGTAGCTGTGGTTGCTGGCCAGACTCACACGTGACTCTACTACCTAAAGGTAGCAGATAGAGCAACTCTATACTAGACGAACTCGCAAGGTAAAACTGAAGCGCAAATGTGGCTAAGGATTGGTCACTGGGGTCTAGAGAGCGTAGTTTGGAGCACACCTCCGGAAATCCGTCAAGTGTCCTGCTTTTCAGATTTGCATCGCTTGGCGGGATCTTTCACGCAGATCGCCATTTTTGCTGAAAGAATCGCTATTCTTGCTCTTTCAGTACAAGTTCTCTTCGCATGTAAGCTTCATGAATAGACTGTCTATCCGTGAAGAAAAAACGGGGTGTAATGAAACAGATGATAAGGGATGGCTTAACGCACATATTGTCTGAATTGTCTGCTGATATTGTCAGAAAGTGACAACGACGTGTCCGTCATTAAAGGACGTCTAGGAATCATCATCATCATCATCATCATCATCAGCCTGACTACGTCCACTGCAGGACAAAGGCCTCTCCCATGTTCCGCCAGTTAACCCGGTCCTGTGCTTGCTGCTGCCAATTTATACCCGCAAACTTCTTAATCTCATCTGCCCACCTAACCTTCTGTCTCCCCCTAACCCGCTTCCCTTCTCTGGGAATCCAGTTAGTTACCCTTAATGAACAGTGGTTATCCTGTCTACGTGCTACATGCCCGGCCCATGTCCATTTCCTCTTCTTTATTTCAACAATGATATCCTTAACCCCCGTTTGTCCCCTAATCCACTCTGCTCTCTTCTTGTCTCTTAAGGTTACACCTACCATTTTTCGTTCCATTGCTCGCTGCGTCGTCCTCAATTTAAGCTGAACCCTCTTTGTAAGTCTCCAGGTTTCTGCTCCGTAGCTAAGTACCGGCAAGATACAGCTGTTATATACCTTCCTCTTGAGGGATAGTGGCAATATACCTGTCATAATTTGAGAGTGCTTGCCGAATGTGCTCCACCCAATTCTTATTTTTCCAGTTACTTCAATCTCGTGGTTCGGCTCTGCGGTTATTACCTGCCCTAAGTAGACATAGTCTTTTACAACCTCAAGTGCACTATTACCTATCTCGAAGCGCTGCTCCTTTCCGAGGTTGTTGTACATTACTTTCGTTTTCTGCAGATTAATTTTAAGACCCACCTTTCTGCTCTCTTTGTCTAACTCCGTAATCATTAGTTGCAATTAGTCCCCTCAGTTACTCAGCAATGCAATGTCATCGGCGAAGCGCAGGTTACTAAGGTATTCTCCATTAACTCTTATCCCTAACTGTTCCCATTCTAGGCTTCTGAAAACCTCCTTAAGCACGTGGTAAATAGCATTGGGAGATTGTGTCCCCCTGCCTTACACCCTTCTTGATTGGTATTCTGTTGCTTTCTTTATGAAGCACTATGGTAGCAGTTGACCCCCTGTAGATTTCTTCCAGAATGTCCATATATACTTCATCTACGCCCTGATTCCGCGTAGATGAAGTCTACGTCTACGAATGCTGCTGCCCAATCTGGACCATATCCGCGATGCCATAATGTAGCGGACCTTCGGACTTTGTTCACAGATGCCACCATTGCCACCGCCACCACCTCCATCATCAACCAACGCGTTACATTTGGAGCGCCATAAAGACGTAGAAGGGAAGCAAGTAATAGCTGATGTCGCACGGCCGTCCTTACCGCCATGTAGCGCCCACAGAGAGACAACACTAGATTCTACTAATGATCTCCGAGGCGAATACCTACATGCCAGCACTATGTTGAGCACATTGATAAGCACAGTGCGCAAACCCGTCACCGATAAGACAATCCCATCAGCTCGAAATGCACCGCAAGTTCTGGATACCTTGGAACCTGTCCTCGCAAGTCTTCTTTAACATAATGGATTGAAGTCTACTTGGTGTAAGGCGGTCGTAGTCGACCCTTGCTCTGTGACAGTTCTCAGCACACGCTCCTAGGAGCTCAAGCGTATTACTTCGCTTGCCCCGCCGCGGTGGTCTAGTGGCTAAGGTACTCGGCTGCTGACCCGCAGGGCGCGGGTTCGAATCCCGGCTGCGGCGGCTGCATTTCCGATGGAGGCGGAAATGTTGTAGGCCCGTGTGCTCAGATTTGGGTGCACGTTAAAGAACCCCAGGTGGTCTAAATTTCCGGAGCCCTCCACTACGGCGTCTCTCATAATCATATAGTGGTTTTGGGACGTTAAACCCCAAATATCAATCAATCGTATTACTTCGCTTTCCTTCATCTTGTTTTCTATTCTTTTCCTGCCCTTTCCCCGTGTGGAGTAGTAAAACACCGTGGAACCTAGTGATCCATCCGGCTTTTCCTTCACTTTTCTCTCTCTCTCTCTCTCTCTCTCTCTCTCTCTCTCAGGTCTTTCTTCAGGCTTTTGGAAGTGTGCGGGAGAAGCAGATCAACAGAAACAAACAAAAAGAAAATTACGAAAGAACTGTTATTCCATGTGTTACATGACACATAGCAGGAGCACAAGGGAAGACAGAGTGCTCCCGCGCCAACTCAGCTTGCGAAGATACGTTCCCTCGTAAGCAAGAAAGTGCGGAAAGCAGTACAAACATGAAGAGACAGGGCGGGTGCTGAAGATAAATTGTTTTTGCTCAACGCCGACACAGTCAATCAACTAATGAAAATACATGTGAGATGAACACAGAAAAAACAAAATTAACAGATAAGTTTTACTTTTCCTACGCGGCCCCTCATCCCTCCTTCCCTATAAAACAAGAGCACAATGCTTGAGCATCTCAAGAAAGTTCTTGAGATGCTCTTGAGAGGTTCTTCAGATGATTTAGTGCCTTCTCGTCAACACTCATCCGCGTTCAGACCACGCAGCCTCTTTTTACATAATAGGGTTTTTTCTGAGCGACTTATACAGGAGGCTCAGTCAGGCTGCTCTCAGTTTTTTTTTTTTTTCTGAACACAAAGCGCTTCAAGAATGAGTTTTCTCTTTTCCATAATAGGTTTCACCTGAAGCATAATTGAGGATATTCCGCATCAGACAAATTATTCGACATCTAGCTAGCTAGCTGTCAAATAATTTGTCTGATGAACAATATCTTCAATGATGCCCGATACATTACCCACTAGCTACGCCACTGGTGTTAAGGTAGATTTATGCTGCTGTTGCATCCAAACTTTTCGGTTGGTATGTTCGAAGCTTTATGGCCTTGTTATTTTCACGTCCCGAAATACGAAAACACACAAAAAAGATCTTTAAACACTGCATCGATGTGTTGCAATTAGAATCGTCGTTTATACACACACACAAAAAAAAGCAGGAACGGCACACATGCCATCAAAATCGGTTACGAGCACAGCAGTACTCGATCTTATGGAGGACAACCAATTTGAATAAAGGTCGAAGGCCGCTCTCGCTTGTTCGTAGTTCTTGAAGATTGCAGCTATCCGCCGTAAGCAGTCACGCGAAGCGTTCGTGTCGGGGTCGATGTATTTACATTTTCCCTCTACTTTTTTTTTATTTTGTTCCGTACTTGGTGCCCTCTATTGCGGGTGCCATGACACACATTCGGGTAGATGAAGAGTATGGGGTGCAGTTATTTCTAGAATACCTTTTGAAGAGCAACCGCACGCTGACTGCTTGACGGATTTACAGAGCCTATTATTGTACTGTTCTCATCATTAAATGCGAAGCAATTCTTTGCGGACTTCGGTGACATTGAGCCTATCTATCTAGCTATAGCCGCCTAAATCTTTTAGCTATCCTGGCCGTTTTGATAATGTGATCAACACCGAACTCGGTATGGCATAACATGACTGTGTGAAAAACATACTTGACTAGTCATAACATGATAATCATGACATGTATGTCGTGAATGTCATGATATACATTTCATGGTCCTGCAGCTCTTGTGGTGGTTTCGTTCACTTGGCATGATGTAAAAGTGGTGTGGCATGACATGATTGCATTGTGAACACAAGCGACAGACCCTAACATGAAAATCATGACATGCGTGTTATGTAACAACATGACTACATGCCAAGCTCATGATGCGCTCGCAGGTGTTTCACTAGCGTCACATATACCAAATTTGGTATTACGTTACGTGAATGGATGA